ACTGTGTTACATAAGACAAGTGTACTCTATAGGTATTTACATTGTATTATATCCGCCATGTCACGCTTGAAGGAGATGGGCGTCTCCGAGGTGACAAAGGATCTGGGATTAGGAATTTATCCCCATTCTCTGTGTCTGATCCTAATCCCTTCACTACTGGTGGGATCCTGTTACTGAGAACACACGGGAATTACATAAATCCTTGCATAACCTGCCCTACCTATCAGTGCAGTGATGGTGGCCCCAGCTGTCACTTTGTATTTTGCGGTAAGCCCGTTGTATGTTTGTATTGCTTAGCGCGCAACCCCCCCCCCCTCCGCCCCTGTGGCCTAGCCAGAGCCAGACTAGCATGTGGCGGGGTGTGATATTGACTACATGGTAACAGTTTCCCTCTCCTTTAAAGCCTAACTCCAGCCAAGTTTTAGCTTTGGATACAGTGTGGGAAAGGATAACATTTCCCCCAGATTTTATTTATCTGTGACACCTTTTTTGGAAGGTTTGCCTTCACTTCCTGTTGCGGTGATACCCAAACAGGAAATAGGGAGGTAGTTGTCACCAGGGTAGGATGTCACATATAGCAATTAAAACATTGTCTTAAGCTCTAACCCTTTCCCGCTCTACCAGTAATGTGTTTCAGTCTTGGTCTACAATCCCGTTGGAGAGATTTCCCATTACTTCCTGTCTTGGCAGGAAGTGAGGGAAAATCTCTCCAACCAAGACACAGACAATAGTAAAAACCTGACATAGGCTCTACTCAAGGGCAACCTGGCCACGAGGTCACCAATACTTTCTGGGACCCTAGTAGATCATAATTCCTCGCGCTACCAGAAATCTTTTCCTGGTGCCTACATGGCAGCATATCATTAGTATGAACACCAATATGAGGGGCACATCACTGACCACCAATGTAAGGGGCACTTCACTAACCACCAATGTAAGGGGCACTTCACTGACCTCCAATGTATGGGGGGCACATCACTGACCACCAACATAAGGGGCACATCACTGACCACCAATGTAAGGGGCACTTCACTAACCACCAATGTAAGGGGCACTTCACTAACCACCAATGTAAGGGGCACTTCACTAACCACCAATGTAAGGGGCACTTCACTAACCACCAATGTAAGGGGCACTTCACTAACCACCAATGTAAGGGGCACTTCACTAACCACCAATGTAAGGGGCACTTCACTAACCACCAATGTAAGGGGCACTTCACTAACCACCAATGTAAGGGGCACTTCACTAACCACCAATGTAAGGGGCACTTCACTAACCACCAATGTAAGGGGCACTTCACTAACCACCAATGTAAGGGGCACTTCACTAACCACCAATGTAAGGGGCACTTCACTAACCACCAATGTAAGGGGCACTTCACTAACCACCAATGTAAGGGGCACTTCACTAACCACCAATGTAAGGGGCACTTCACTAACCACCAATGTAAGGGGCACTTCACTAACCACCAATGTAAGGGGCACTTCACTAACCACCAATGTAAGGGGCACTTCACTAACCACCAATGTAAGGGGCACTTCACTAACCACCAATGTAAGGGGCACTTCACTAACCACCAATGTAAGGGGCACTTCACTAACCACCAATGTAAGGGGCACTTCACTAACCACCAATGTAAGGGGCACTTCACTAACCACCAATGTAAGGGGCACTTCACTAACCACCAATGTAAGGGGCACTTCACTAACCACCAATGTAAGGGGCACTTCACTAACCACCAATGTAAGGGGCACTTCACTAACCACCAATGTAAGGGGCACTTCACTAACCACCAATGTAAGGGGCACTTCACTAACCACCAATGTAAGGGGCACTTCACTAACCACCAATGTAAGGGGCACTTCACTAACCACCAATGTAAGGGGCACTTCACTAACCACCAATGTAAGGGGCACTTCACTAACCACCAATGTAAGGGGCACTTCACTAACCACCAATGTAAGGGGCACTTCACTAACCACCAATGTAAGGGGCACTTCACTAACCACCAATGTAAGGGGCACTTCACTAACCACCAATGTAAGGGGCACTTCACTAACCACCAATGTAAGGGGCACTTCACTAACCACCAATGTAAGGGGCACTTCACTAACCACCAATGTAAGGGGCACTTCACTAACCACCAATGTAAGGGGCACTTCACTAACCACCAATGTAAGGGGCACTTCACTAACCACCAATGTAAGGGGCACTTCACTAACCACCAATGTAAGGGGCACTTCACTAACCACCAATGTAAGGGGCACTTCACTAACCACCAATGTAAGGGGCACTTCACTAACCACCAATGTAAGGGGCACTTCACTAACCACCAATGTAAGGGGCACTTCACTAACCACCAATGTAAGGGGCACTTCACTAACCACCAATGTAAGGGGCACTTCACTAACCACCAATGTAAGGGGCACTTCACTAACCACCAATGTAAGGGGCACTTCACTAACCACCAATGTAAGGGGCACTTCACTAACCACCAATGTAAGGGGCACTTCACTAACCACCAATGTAAGGGGCACTTCACTAACCACCAATGTAAGGGGCACTTCACTAACCACCAATGTAAGGGGCACTTCACTAACCACCAATGTAAGGGGCACTTCACTAACCACCAATGTAAGGGGCACTTCACTAACCACCAATGTAAGGGGCACTTCACTAACCACCAATGTAAGGGGCACTTCACTAACCACCAATGTAAGGGGCACTTCACTAACCACCAATGTAAGGGGCACTTCACTAACCACCAATGTAAGGGGCACTTCACTAACCACCAATGTAAGGGGCACTTCACTAACCACCAATGTAAGGGGCACTTCACTAACCACCAATGTAAGGGGCACTTCACTAACCACCAATGTAAGGGGCACTTCACTAACCACCAATGTAAGGGGCACTTCACTAACCACCAATGTAAGGGGCACTTCACTAACCACCAATGTAAGGGGCACTTCACTAACCACCAATGTAAGGGGCACTTCACTAACCACCAATGTAAGGGGCACTTCACTAACCACCAATGTAAGGGGCACTTCACTAACCACCAATGTAAGGGGCACTTCACTAACCACCAATGTAAGGGGCACTTCACTAACCACCAATGTAAGGGGCACTTCACTAACCACCAATGTAAGGGGCACTTCACTAACCACCAATGTAAGGGGCACTTCACTAACCACCAATGTAAGGGGCACTTCACTGACCACCAATGTAAGGGGCACATCACTAACCACCAATGTAAGGGGCCTGTAACTGACCACTGACCAAAACTGAGACAACAAGGACTCCCTCTAAAGCACAAGTGGGCAACTCCGGCCCTCCAGCTGTGATTTACCTACAAATCCCATCATGCTTCTGCCTCTGCCTGCAACGATCAATCTTGCAATGCCTCATGGGATTTGTAGTTCCTCAGCAGCTGGAGTGCCGGAGTTTTCCATCCCTGCTCTAGTGTCTAATCTAAACAATCAATATTTACAACAGGTTAGAAAAAGGGATATTTGGTTGCTATGGGCAACAGAGATCTTTATTTTGTGGCCCATTGAGTCAACCAGCCATAACTCTGAACAGTAATAGGCCATAGCAACCAATTGCTAACAATGGGAAGCTTCCAGCTACAGTTTTTTAAATTACACTGAAACCAAATATTGTACAAAGGAGAAAATGGTGACACAGATTATCTGTAAACTGAAGCAGGCAGAATCTGGAGCAGTTGCACATGGCAACCATGTCAGCTTCCATCTTGAGTTTGTTCAGTTAAGCATTGAAAATAAAAGAGAGAAGCTGATTGGTTGCCATGGGAACTGCTCCAGATTGTGTCTGTTCCAGTCCTAATAAATTCCCCTCTCTAAATCTCTCCAGTGTGCAGGGACTAGTCATCTCTGTTACTCCCTCGAATTCAGTTGTGGTTGCTATGGGATACTGCAGTTTGCTCAGTTATCATGCATATAGCTGAATATTAAATAACCCCACACATGGACTTTTAATCTGATTGTACAATCTCCTTCAGATTTACGGACAGCTATGCAATGTGCGGGCCTATGTAAACAATTTCTATCCGGTCCGTCGTTGTTCTACATATCAATATAATCGCATTGTAAAGTGCGTGAGCAGCTTTGGTTGGATCAAACCTCCCTTTAAATTCCAACAGTCCTCATCAATAAATCACCTTATTGCCATGGCAACCAGAGTCCATCATGTACCAGGCTGGTTTCAGCTGAGCGAATTCTGATTGGTTGCTATGGGTTACAGCACATGGGAATAAGCACGCTTATCACTTAGAATTAATCTAAGTTGTATAAATCTTAATGCTGCTGCTGTGTGTGTGATCCAGGGTTATGTCACTGTGGCCCCAGCAAGCATATCACTGTGGCCCCAGCAAGGATATCACTGTGGCCCCAGCAAGGATATCACTGTTGCCCCAGCAAGGATATCACTGTGGCCCCAGCAAGGATATCACTGTGACCCCAGCAAGGATATCACTGTGACTCCAGCAAGGATATAATTGTGGCCCTAACAAGGATATCACTGTGGCCCCAGCAAGGATATCACAGTTGACCCAGCAAGCATATCACTGTGGCCCCAGCAAGCATATCACTGTGGCGCCAGCAAGGATATCACTGTGACCCCAGCAAGGATATCCCTGTGACCCCAGCAAGGATATCACTGTGACCCCAGCAAGGATATCACTGTGACCCCAGCAAGGATATCACTGTGACCCCAGCAAGGATATCACTGTGACCCCAGCAAGTATATCACTGTGGCCCCAGCAAGGATTTGCAGCACTCTACTTGTTATTGAATGCCATGTGCGTCATTTGGCCTATTCGATTATCGTGCAAAGAGCAGTAACCCATGGCAACCAGGTAACTACATGCCTCATAAATGTATGATATATATATTTTTTATACTTCTGTATTTATAAG